AGATTATGGATGGGAGTTAAGAGATCACATTTAATCCAAAAGAAAGAGTGAATAGAAGTCTTCTCTGATGAGGTAACATTTGAACTAAATCTTTTGATAGGCATGGAGAAGTTTAGATGAGAAGGAAAGGAAATTATTCTGGTGACGGGGAAAAGTGTGAAAACGTGAAATATCCTTAGAGATTCAGGTACTTCTTGGCATCGTGATAAATTTAAAATCCATGAGAATAGCCATAATCCATGTAAAAAATATAGCATTAACATTAAGTGACCTTCAGCTTCCCACAAATTTCCTTCAGTGACCCATTTTCATGGTCAGACCCTGGACCTTGTGCTTATTTCTTTACTCAAAAAATATTTATTGAATGTCTAACTATGTATGCAGGTACTGTTCTCTCCTCAAAGGACAATGATGAAAGGACAAATGAGATTCTTGCTCTCATGATTTATATACGAGTCACGAGAAACCAACAATAAATAAGAAAAACTGGAAAACAGATAGTAATAAATGTCATGCACAGAATTAAACAGGATTATGGAAGTGACTGGTGGTAACTAGATTGGGTGGTTGGGGAGGGCTTGTATGATGAATTATTAATTAAGCTGAGAATGACTAGTAGGAATCAGCTATGTAATAGGGTAAAAATAGTCTAGTCTGAGAGTTACAGTTACTACAAACATCATGAGACAGAAATGAGTGCCAGGTAAGAAGGCCAGTGGCCTGACATATGGTGGAAGGAGGAAAGTGGTGTGTGATGACATCAGAGAGGAAAGCAGAAGCCAGAAGAAGCAGGGCTGTGCAGGCCAGAGTAAGGAGTTAAGACTTTATTGTAAATGCAGTGGGAAGCCATTAGAGGGTTTGGGGGGGGGGGTGGCATGATCTGAATTATAGCTTTGCAAAGTGATTCTGGCTACTGTGTAGAGAATGGATTGTGCAGGGCTAGAGTAGAAGCCCAGCATCTGGTTAAATAGCAGTGGGGAAGCATGAGAAGCAGTGGTGCTTGGTCGAAGGTGGTAGTAAGAGACATGGAAAGGTGGATATGTTTGGGACATATTTTGCAGGTAAAATAAATAATCCTTGGAGTTTTTATTTTGGGAAACTAAGCAGATGGTGGTACGGTTGACTGAGATGCACAGGAATGGGCTGAACTGGTTGAGAGTGACAGTGAAACAAGAGTTTTATTTTGGGCATGTACTTTGGGGACACACAAATGGAAATGTCAGGTAGGCAGATGTGAACCTAGAGCTCTGAGCAGTCAGGCACAGCTCCATGTCCGCGTGCGCATTGTGCGCTGCACTTCTACGGTTGAGCGGTACAGATGGTGTGTGTCCTGAAGAGCATCACTAGCGTAGATCTGGAAACCGCTGGCCTACAGATGGTATAAAGCCATGGGAATAAATGAGACTTCAGCAAACTCAGGATAATCATCCTTAGCTTTTAGACAAGATGAAGCAAATGATACTGTATTTTCAAAATTCATTTTAATTCCTTATGAAGAACCAATTCCAACAATTTATTCTGAAGCTCTAAATTTAAATCACCTTTTGATGAAAAAATTGGATTTCAGATCAATGAACTTCCTTTATATAGATATTCTTTTGATGGACAATAGAATTCTAGACCAACTTGTATTCAGTGCTGATGTTTTGCAGATGTGCAATATGAAGATCACCTACTGCACTGATAATTGTTGATATCAACATATACTTTCTTATCAAATACATGCATGATTTTTGTGACTTTTGATTGGTTTAGTTATGTTTTTACATTTAAATCTTTTATCCATCTGGAATTTATTTTAGTGTGAAGTGGGAAGAATCTAAATTTATTTTATTTCAAATCTTAGCCAACTGTCTCAAAACACTTACCATACGAACCTAGGTTTTTCCTATTGATCTGAAATGCCAAATGCTAAATTCCCAAGTGGATCATGAGATCTATTTCTGGAATCTCTATTCTGTTTCCACTGATCTTATTCATGATCCAGGTTGTTTTATATCAAATTCAAATCATACATATATTAAAAATTTTCCATGTTACAATATCTGTGCATTTATCAAGTTGCAATAAAAAATACTTTGCTAGTGTTCTATGAAGTTCTTCCCACATTATAAGCCAATTCCTGTATCTTTTGAGCCCAGGTCTCATTGAAAAGTTATAGTTTGGCTACCTTCTGTTTCATATGTCAATGTTTCCAGGCAAACAGTTTTTAGAAAGTATTGTTTTTATAGATTTATTATACATGTATAAATTTAGTGCAATTCAAGTGAAAATTCCAGTTGGTAATTTTTGAGACTTGACAAAACACTACTGAAGTTTATTTGGAGAAGAAGAAAAAGAATCTGTGGAAAACAGCCAATTTTGTAAAACAATTATGATGAAACAGGACTTTTCATGATCAGATATAAAACATGATAATATGAAGAAAAACATTTTTTTTAGCTTCATACCCAACTAACACAAGGAACTTCATAATGTACAAAACTATGAAGGATTATAGTGTCAACAGATGCGGTTTGGAGCTTCAGTTGTGTGCAGGAGTATGTTCTGGTGGTACAGCTGCAATAGCAGGAAGACGTCCTGGGGTAGTTAGCAAGATTAAGGAGCTTGCACCAGAATGTAAATTGACACATTGCTTCCTGCATCAAGTGGCCCAGCTTCAGAAAAAAATCAGTTGAGCTAAAGAGTAACATAAAATAGTAAAAATTCTGAATTATGTAAAGTAGTGTGTTAAATGCCAGATTATTCTGTTATGTGGTAACACAGAAGCTGATAAATTCCTGTTGTTGCCTGCTGCAGTGCTATGGTTATCAAGGGACGAGTTCCCTTGAGCAGTCTAAATTTTTAGTTTTCCTACAAGGTAAGAAACCAGTTTGGTCTAAACTCTGAAGAATTCTCAACTTTTTGAAGATGTCAATTGGAAAGCCTGCCTTGCTTATTGGCCTAGGATCTTTGGTATTTTTAATGATCATAATCCTTCCTGTAAGAAAGAAATGCAACTGGCTTTTTAATGATAATGTCAAAGGCCACCTGGATGTCCATGGGCACCTCAAATTCAACATATCCACAATTGAATTCATTACTTATCCCCCAAACTTGTCCTTCCTCCTTGTCTTTTCCTGATAACTGTATCACCATGCACTTTATTACCTAAGCCAGGCACCTGAAAATCAGCCTTCACCTGTCCCTTGTCTTCTATATCAAGTTACCATCCAAGTTATGTTGATTCTACCTCTGTGTCGTCTCTCATATATGCTCCTTCTAATGAACCTGATTACTTCTACCTTGAGTTAGGCCCTGATCCTCTTACTTTGGACTTCTTACTCTCCACTAAGGAATCCATTTGTCAGCTGGCCACCAGAATACTCTTTCCAAATGCAAACTTCTTCACGCCACTTTCCTATTAAGTCCTTTCTGGGCTCTCTTTTACCCATAGGAGAAATTCTAGTCTTTAGAGTGTCATCTAAACTCTACATTCTGGCTCCTGTCTCTCTCTAGCTTCAAATTTTTACACCTTCTTAGTATGTCTCACCTCAACCATACCTGAGTACTTGGGGTGTTTGGAACTCTGTTTTGCTTCATGCCTTTCTGCCTTCACTCACACTTGGAATTCTGTCCCACCATTTTCTCAGGAAGACCTAATTATCTTTCAAGATTTAGTTCAAACTTTACCACCTTTGGGTAGCATTTCCTATCTTCACCCACTCACGGAATATTTTTCCCACAGAATTAACTATTCTTCCTTTATATTCCTATTATGGACCCCCTGACTTTTTACTGTAGTACCCACAAAATTGTATTATAACTGTCTGTTTACCTGCTTTCCTTAATAGACTGGGAGCACCTTGAGTCAGGGACCTGTCTTTTTTTTGTTGTTTATTCCTAGTATCTGGCAATGCCTGTACAATTTAGGCACTCTGTTAAAATTCTTTGAATGAATGAGTTGGTAAATGAGAAGTTTCAGAGGTGCCATGGAAAGGGCAGAGAATGCAGTAGTTTTAAAAGTGGTCAAGAGGAAGACACAGGACAATACAGTGACAAGAATAAGGGAAAAGATAATTTAAGGGAGACTGGGCTCTGTATGGTGGTTGATAATGAGAGACATGATGGGATTAACTAGCTTCTGACTAAAATTCTGATACAAGATTTTTCTATTGCTCTAGAAGTACAGATGGTATATGGGATCAAATGAAGTTTACTGGATATCATCCAGTTAGCAAATATTAGCACACACAAGCCGAATTTTTACAGTGTACACAGCTTTAGTATTTACTTTTATTATTTGATTCTTAAAACAGTTATTTCCCTAAGCTTCAGTTTCCTTTTTTGTAAAATGAAGATGATAGCCATCTCTTAGGATTGTTTACACGTTGTGTTAAGTCTGGCACACAGTTCAGTACCCAATATGTTGGTAAAGCAGGAATTTGAGGCCCAAAATGGTTCAATGACTTGCTCAAGGTTACAGAAGTAAGTTAGTGGCAGATTTAGATACACATTCCAGATCTTACGTCCTCTTATTGAAATGCTCATTTTACTACACTACAGCATAGTATCTTCTACATTACTTGGTGCATGGCATCTTTAATTTCCCTGAGAGGCTCACCCAACAGCAGGCTTTGGAATTAGTCTATCAGCGAGCTGATTGCCAGAGTCAAGGAAAATCTAAATCTTGGCTAAAATCAAAATGCAAATATAAATAATATTTTTATAGCTTGCATTGCCTCCTCGTCTATTTTATCCTTGATGACTGTCATCAGAGAATCTCAGCAGACTAGCTCCTGCCCTCGTGAGGTTCTGTGGAGATATGCTCTCATTTTCACTGACTTTTAAAATACTGTTTTTGAGTCCATTTTTTCTGCCAGAGCAAGTGTCAGTTTGGGGCCTAAGAATTAAAGTAGCAGGCATCCGAAGTGGGAACTGGAGCAGAGAGAGAGTGAAGAGTGAATCTGGGCTGCAGCAGCACTGACAAGCATACCCATCTGTCCTTGTGTTTTCTGTAGAGTTTTGTCCAGGAAGAACCTGAAGCCACAAAATTTGAACTGGAGATGAAATTATTAAGTGAAACAGTTTTATCAGGTATTCTTCTAAATCACATTTGTAGAGTTTAACTTTATTGGGATATTCCTGCTTACAACAGAAATGCAGAGTCATTATATAAAAGTTCATATGTTGCAGAAATATATTTAAAGTGAAAATTCTTCATAATCCCTCTTCTGAAATAACCAATATGAACAAAATTTCTCCTATTTGTATTTCTTCTCTCTGTAGCTCTCTTTTGATTTTTAATGAAACCATGAAATACCATACAAATGTTTGAAAGTTACTTATCAATATTTATTTTATGTAACATATTCTACACACATACATAGAACATAATGCATATTCTACTTAAATGAATAATATTCAGCACTATCCTAAGTCAGAACACATTAATAAACTTACTTTTTAGTAGCTAATAATAATTCCATCCAATAATGGAAGATTCTTTAAATCTTTATTGATAGTAAGGTTATTTGTAATTTTTTATTATTACAAACAATGTTGTAATGAATATTCACAAACACATACATAATCATAAATTTCTCAACACTTTTGTATTCAGTCTTATCTTGGAAAATAGAAATTTGAGAGAGTTTAAAAATGTCAAAATGATAGTGATGTCTAATTTGCAGGTCTTTTAGTTTGAGATTTATGTATATCACTTCCCAGGAACTTCTAAGAAATTTTCTAGATTCTATAGATTTCTTAGCATATTTGTCATAACATACTTCTTGTCTACTTCACTTTTTCCAACACACTTTTGTTTCAGCAGCCAACTAGGTTTATATTTTTAAAACTTTTCTATAACCCTGAGGAGGTAATTTTCCTGCTAGAATTAGGATACTATAGTCCATGAATCTCTGTCAATAATATTGAGGTTTTCTATATGGTAATCCCCGAATAATATATATATATATCATAATTGTCTGAATTTGGATACGGTGTTCTTTTTCTTTCTTTTTAGGTAAATGGATTATTAACTAAATAAATTTGAAAATTAAAGTCTGCATTTTATTGAAGGTATACAAGGGAAAAGGGCAATTGCTTAACTGGAATTTTCTTTGCATATTGTCATTAATTTTTAGTGTCTGATCTCCATGGGTTAAATTCAGTGACTTCTCAGTGTGCTTCCTTTCATGGGAGAGGAAAATTATAATGATAAATAATAAGACTGACACATCTTAAGTTTTACTATGTGTCTGGCACCAGTTCTAAGTTTTTTACATGTATTAACTCACAACTTCCCCAAATTCCCCAAATTCATTATCTCTTTTGTAGAGGAAAGGGAGAAAAGACAGGTTAATTAGCATATCTTGCATAAGGTCACACAGCAAGTAAAGGGTGGAACCTATAAGTGGTCTGATTTCGCTTTCTTACCTAGAGCACTACACTGAAAGACTTTTGGTGACAGGTCTTAGTGATATGTGACTTAAAATATTCCCTTGATTGTGCACTGAGAATTATGGAATTACAGAATTTCCCCATAAAATTTCTAAACAGAAGGGATTATCCAATACAGTTCTTCACTTTAAAGCCTCTATTCCTATTTTTTTAATGAGCTGGGCCTGTTTTTGTTGAAAAAGAAAATTAGCTTTAATATATGGTCCAAAATTTATGTTTTTCACCATTTTACTTTCTTCTTTCAGATTTTTAGCCCCATAGTGTCCAATTTAAAAACATTAATTTATCAGTTATCAAATTTTGTCTTAAGCCACTTTTTCATATTTTATAATAAGGGTAGCAGAATATGCCACCCCAAAATATGCCACTTTGGCATAAGGATATTTTAAGTTAAGAGCAATTGAAAAGGTGCAGATGCAAGAAAAGCTGCCTACCCTCTTATTTGCCTAAAAACAAGACATAAAATTTCAAAGGTGTCACTCCTTTTCTCTCTACCAAGAGGGACAATGGTTAATGCCCAGAGATAACTTCAGACCCTATCAGCCTAGAGAGGGTACCAGAGGAATCTGCATAACAAACTTTACTTACTAGGCCTTTTCTCTACCCTCAGAAACCTAAAACTCCTTTCCTTTGTCATTTCCCCACAAGTTTGTTGTTCTTGGTTGAAGATGCTGTATAAGACAGAGTGCTGAGCCACCTCTTCAGATTACTCATTTTTCCCTGGCTAATCTCCCATGTTTACACGAGGTATACATATTTAATAAATGAATGTTTTTGTCTCTTGTTAATCTTTTATTATAAAAGTTCATCCAAGAACTCAGAAGGTAGAGGGAAAATTATTTTTCCTCCTCTACAATACATTTTTGAAGTTATTTTAATAGTAACATGCTTATTACATGCAAATTCTTAAAGTTTTGGTATATAAACCATAAATGGAGCCCTCCCCTTTATCCTACCATTATACATGCTTATTACTACTTCAAAGGTTAGCTTTGTGAATAGTTTTGAACTAACCACTTTTTGACATTTTAGTAGCTAAATACTTTGTTTCCAGTATCAGAATTTTTTCCTTTCCCTCCTAATACCAAAATGTTACAATCTATTTAGAAACTAAATTAATCTGATTGATTTTAGCACAGTTGTTGCTGATAGAGAATGCTAATGAAAAGCCGTGTTTCTTTGAAGACAATGAGGTTGATTTATGCCAATTCACAACCCTGGGTGGAGTGTACCACTTGGATACTTTGGAGCTTCCCCCACAGTGTAAACCAATGAAAGGCTGGATGATTGTGGAAGTAGGTTGATTTTTGAATCAAATTTATGAGTAAAATAATTTCTCACACTTTTATCTTAAATGAGCTAACATCTAATGAAATTTAACCCTATTAAGCAAGCATAAAGAGAAAAACTAATTTTAAACTGTCTTTAATTTATAAAATTTAAATCAGATACTAAAGGAAAGGACTCTAAAATAATACAAATTTTGAAACTATAATTCATGCATGTTAATTGTAAACCTATAGCACTGTGTTTAGATTGTGCCAGTTTGGTCTTAATGATAGTCTATTTAAGATGCTGGCAAACTTTTTCTGTAAAGGGCCAGATGGTAAATATTTCAGCTTTGTGCCCATACCAGCCTGTTGCAACTCTCAGTGCTGCCATCATAATAATAAGACAGCCATATATAAATGAAAACTTTATTTACGAAAACTGGTGGTGGGCCAGATTTTCTAGGGGCCATAGTTTGTGTACCCTGGTCTAGATCAGTGGTTCCCAACATGTGGTCCCTTGACCAAAAGCATTAGCATAATCTGGGAATTTTCTAGAAATGCAAATCCATGGGCCCCATTTCAGTTTTACTGAATCAGAAAGTCTGGAGGTGGGCGCCTGGGTGGCTCAGTTGGTTAAGCGACTGCCTTCGGCTCAGGTCATGATCCTGGAGTCCCGGGATCGAGTCCCGCATCGGGCTCCCTGCTCAGCGGGGAGTCTGCTTCTCCCTCTGACCCTCCTCCCTCTCATGCTCTCTCTCATTCTCTCTCTCGCAAATAAATAAAATCTTTAAAAAAAAAAAAAAAAAAGTCTGGAGGTGAGGTTCAGCAGTCTGTGTATTAGCAAAACACACCTCAAAGTTTGAGAACCACTGGTCTGGATCCTTGATGTATAAAGTGTGGTCCATGAACCAGCAGCATCAGCATCACCTAGAACCTTGTTAGAAATGCATAATCTGGTGCTTCACCTCAGATCTACTGAATCTGAATTTTAAGAAGACCCTCAGGTGATTCATATGCACATTTAAGTTTGAGAAGCACAGATCCAGGTGATGGCAATGTTGCTGATGCATGCTCCACACTTTTAGTAAGGATGCTAATGACAGCAGGTGTTAGATCATTTTTGAAGGACTTCCTCACTCCTATTTCAATAAATAGTAACATTTGCCCTGGTATTGACTTGGTTTATTTTAACTTTACTTCATGGTGGCTTGTGTCCCAAATATTACCTGTTACATTGTCATAGACCCTTCCTCCTTCCTTTTTTGCTTTCCAGCCTTTCTGAGTTCTTCCCCTCCCTCTCGTTCTCCTTGTCTCTCCAACCTCTTTCTCTCTCTCCTCCAGCACATCATGTACATAGACTGCCAGGCACTTCTCACCCACAGTTCTACCATTAAGGACCGTGGTACATTCTCGTAATAGAGTGGTATTTCTCAACTTTTATTTTTTTTCCCCATTATCACCTCTCTAAGGAGCCTTTGTAGACATTTTATTTCCTAGCCACCCACCCCATGAAATTTTAATACCATAGATATACAATATATTTGTGTATGTACTAAATATATAGCTGTGCTTTACACCTAAAAGAGTATGATTTTTTTCATGCCCCCTCAAACTAATTTTCACCCCCTTGGGGATGATACTGCTATTCCTTTCCCATTCTTCCCACAAGTGAGAATGCACTTATTAGAGCATGCCTGAGGTAGATAACCTGGTCTGTAGCCACTTTGAACAATCTATTTGAATCAGCTTTTCCTACCTCAGGGTTACTTGAAGGACAATGGGGATTCACAGAAAGGCATCTCTTTGGGGAAGGTAGGCCTTCAAAATTCTTTATCCATAGGAAGGGCCCAGCCAGAGCTAGGATTTCCAAGAATTCATTCAAAGATCTGTTCTTGAATTTTGTTGGTGTCCTGATATCACCATTCCATGTTCTCCACTTGAGCACCAAGTATCCTCCTTTACGCTTGTTTTTCTCTTCAACAAAGAGGTCTTCTTCCTTTTATTCAAGTCTCTTTTCAGTAATCTTCTACCTCCTGTAGAATTTTTACCCATCCAGTTTTTTCCTCTATTTTTACCATTCTTAATCTTCCCCACCCTTCCTTCCCTAGATCCTTCTCTTCTATGTTCAAATAATGGATAAATCTTCATCCCAGAGAAATCTGCTGTTGGCTTAATTTACTTTCTCTCCCCAGCTTTATTGAGATATAATTGACATAAAGCATTGTATAAGGTGTACCAACGTGTGATTTTTAATTTACTTTCATCCATTTGTTTCTATACTTCTCAAAATGTTTGCTTATATTCTTTTCTCTCTTCACCTACACACCCTAACCAAGGTATTGGAATCTGAGATTTAGGGTCCTATAGCTCTGTTATTGAGTTGTGGTGCCTCCTTGAAGTCATTTTGTAATCTTTGGCAAATTCTTTGATTTCTCTAAGTCCCAGTTATCTCTGTTAAATATATGTCTTGTAGGATTACTTGGAGGAATAAAATGATAAGTCCCAGCATAGAACCTGGACCATAGGAAGATTCTGTAATTCAGATTTAGTGATTTTTTTTTTCCTCCTCAATCATCTTTTTAATTTTGTTGTGACATTTTGTTAGTCAATCTTTAGTTAAATGAGACCAATCTTCAGCACTTATTAGGAATAATTATATATAGTTTACTCAGCAATATTTACATATTTAATTGTTACCAGTCAGCTTCTAACTTGATGTTATTTTGGTCATTTTTAAAAGATACTCAAAGAAGGATTGCAGAAATATATCTATCCTCCAGAAACTACAGAAGACGTTGAAACAGAAAATGCTTTCCCACCCATAGAGGTCACACTTGAGGTTCAGAAGAATGTAATCTTTTTTGAGGATCCTATGGTTGCAAGGTGGGATGCTGAAGGTACGGCAATACCTTAATCAGCTTTGATAATTATGTAATGAAAAGAGCTATAACACAAATCCTTAAAACAGAAAATACAGTGTGTAAACTCTGTAATTTCTAATCTTACACATTTCTATGGCAACTCTAGAGTCTTTGCTTTGTTTGCTCTTGATGGAAATGAATAGGGATTGGAATTTATTTATTGAATGTTATAACTGTTAGTTCCTGAAGCCTTAGATCTGCCATAATCTCTGAACAATTATGTCATTATGTTTTAAAAAAATAAATTAACAAAAATCTCAAAATAGTAGGACACATGAAAATTTAAATTAAATGAAAAACCTACTCTCTCCTGAAATGACTACATAATTCAGATTGGTGTGATCAAAATTTATTTTAATCTTAATAACTTAGAAATTGCAAATCTTATTACAAACAAGTACTGGAGATAGGGAGTGAGCCATTGGGAAACCCGGGACAGAAGAACACTAGCCACTTTCTGCTTCTTTATAACTTTTGATTGTGGAACCATGGGAAATTATTGGTTATCCAGAATGTGAAATAAATATCAACAAAGTCAGAAGTACCAGAAAAAATATAAGCTAATGATTTACTAATCATTAACAAATACCTCATTTGGGGTTGACTGGCTCAACTTTGAGAAGTCTTGGTCTGGTAAATTAATGTATGCAGGTTTGAGGCTGCTAGAGGAAAGAGGTATAGCTTTACTTTTAATGTGAAGCATTTTACATTCATATTTATGGAGGAATTTACTTAGTTGGTGACAGGTTGGGAACAGATCATAAAGGCACAGAGCTATTACTTAATCCATTTATGTAGTCAAAGGAGCAGAGAATTTAGGAATTTCTCTACCAGGAAAGGTAAATGTTATGTAGTTTAGTAGTTTAAACTTTTTTTATGATAGCTACAGTAATCCACATTTTTGGTTGTGTAGACATAGCCACAAGATATTTATATTCTAGAAATAACTTATGAATTAATAACAGTATAGGTCTATCAAAACATTAAATTATAAAACATATCAAAATGAACAATTAGGTAATTTCTTCCCTTCACGTTGCTTTAGGAGTTTCACTTTTCCTTTAATGGTAATGTTTTTAAATATTTACTATGTTAAAAATTATTCACATTAAATTAGAATTAGACAAGATAAGTTATCCCACATGATTCAGGGAAATATAATGTGTAAAATTTGTCTCTGACTGCAGTAATTAGACAGCAGTAATATACAACTCCAATAATTCTTCCCATGGGGAAACTTTTTTCCAGGAAATACTACAAATTTGGAGAGTTTATTTATAGGTGATACTTAATTTTTACCTTTAAAAAAATTACAATAATTTTGTTAATGTAAAAACGAAAAGAGGAATTATGAGTAACTTAATCAATATAATTGTATTTGTTATATTGAATTTAAGAGTTAAAAATAGTGAGTGGAACCCTGCATGTGAGGAGAAAGCCACGTGGAGATGGAGAGAGCATTCTAGGAAGGGAATGACTCATGTATTCCATAATTATGCTACACAATAAGAAATATAGAATAAATGGGACATAGTTCCTTCCTCTAGGAGTTTTCAAAGTTGTAGGAGAGGCAGACAGGGAAAAGCCACATAATACGATACAGTAAGGTGCATAATAGATAAAAGTGCTATGCAGCAGGACAGCGGGTCCACCTGGAGTATTAAGGAAGGCTTGTCCTAGTATGGAATATTGAAGTGGGCCTTAAGAGACTACAAGAACATTGGCATGCAAGTGTTTGTGTGGATGTACATTTTCCTTTTTCTTGCGTATATACCTAGGAATGGAATTGCTGGGTTGAATGATAAATTTATGTTTAACTTTTTAAGAAACTGTCAAATTGTTTTTCAAAGTAACTGTACCATTTTACATGCCTGCCTGTATTATATGAGGTTTCCCACCTCTCACATCCTTGCCAACATTTGTGATTATTTTTCTTTTTTATTCTAGCCTTTCTAGTGAGTATGAAGTGGTATTCCTGGGGTTATAATTTGAATTCCCTAATAACTGATCATGTGGAGCATCTTTTTGTATGTGTTTATTATCCTTTACTAGATCTTCTTTGGTGAAATGTTTACTCAAATCTTCTGCCCATTTTTAAATTGTGTTGTGTTTTATTATTAAGTTGTAAGAGACACAAAAGACCACCCACATATGATTGTATTTATATGAAAAGTCCAGAAAAGACAAATCTTTAGAGACAGGAAGTATATTAATGGCTGCCTGTGGCTAGAGGTGAGAATGGGAATAATTAACTATAAAATGGACATGAGGGATCTTAAGGAGAGAATAATAATGTTCTAAACTGGATTGTGGTAATGGTTGCACACCTGGGTGAATTTACTAAAAATATATACTTAACATGGGTGAATTTTAAAGTTTTTTTTAAAACAAGATGAGGAGGGGTTCTCTAAAGGATTAAGTCCTCTAGGAAGAAAGAACTGCATGTGCAGAGGCTCAGAGGTATATGATGCTGTTGGGGGAGGGGGAAAAAAAAGCATAGCTAAAACCAGGTGTAGGAAGTGCAAGGGTTGAAGCCAGAGACATGAGTCTTCATTCTGAAGGCCTTATATATCATGCTGAGGAGTTTGGATTTGATCCTGTAGACAGGAAGAACCTCCCAGCAAAAGTGGCTTTTTGTAGAGGTTCTCTTCTAAATGTAAACGATCAATTGATACACCTTTGCAGTTGTTTGGGTGGTTTCATTCATCTTATTTTTATATAGAAAAATGAAACTGTTACTCTCTTCCTTATTATGAAGGTAAACATTGGCAAACTGATGGCATCAGCAATGTCTCTTACAAATCAGAAGAGAGACTTATAACATTCAGCCTAGAAACTTTTGGCCCCGTTACCTTGATTCAAGATTCTCATATTAACATGCCATTCCAGTCATGGGAACTAAGACCACTTGATGTGAATAAAGTACTTTTGACTGTGACTACAGTATTTACTGAGATTCAAATACAAATTAAGGTAAGTCACAATTATAGTAAGTCACATGAGAGCGGTAAACCGCTTTGATGACAGTAAAAGTATGTCAAAGTAATCAGTCACTGGTGATTTACATATTGAAATATGAATTTACATATTGAATCAATTTACATATTGAAATCAGTTATAAATATATTTAAAATATACTTTGAGCCATAATTTCTAAATGAAACAGTGATTGGATAGGTAATAACGTATAACAAGTGATGTGCAAATTTGTACCCTCAAGTTAGTAGAAATAACTATTTAAATAATAAATTAATTTAATAAATTAAATAGTAAACCAATTAATGAAGCTACCAGCCTGTTGCAGTGTGACTTCCAGAGAGTTTTTGATCTACTCTAAAGAGGCTTCCTCCTTAAAACCAGATGAGAGATGTGAACTCTGTACACTTTCAAATTGCCATTTTGTGAACTTTAAAACTGGATAATTTTGCATTGTTGTGTTAAACCTTATATGTGGAAAAAAATTATCCTTAAAAGTGGCAACATGAATAGCTATCAAATAGCTTTTGTAATTCAGTGTGACCGTATTCAGTGTTCTTAGATCATAACTCATACAATGGGTGGAGACCTGAGAGATCTTTTAGTCCCTTGATTTGTTCAGATAAAGCCCCAAAAGGGTTGACCGACCGACTGGTTGGGATAACAAGGGAGACTTTACGTGAGACTTCTCAGAGCTGGCCCAAAACATATCTGTCCTGCATTCTTTTTAATACAGAATGAGCTAAAAAAAAAAAAAAAACTAGTATGACGAACCTAAAGGCTGGAAATGGAATAATGATGTAATAATTTACTTTATCTTTCTTCTTATTGAAACTAGGAAAACCTCTGCATGTTAGCATCAATCAAACTAAATAACAAAAAGCATTCCTCTATTTTGGAAGGAAAATGGATGACTCCTATTTCTTTCATTTGTACTTTGAAAGAAGCTGGATTGAATATCTTCCCTAGTGGACACTCTCATTTTTATGTTGTTATAAATTATAAGGTAAGAACAAATCTTTCCAAATTTAATGTAATGGACATTTAGAGTGTTAGCAAGCGTTGAATATTATGTAACTCTTCAGGTACATTTTAGGTTTTCTATATTCACTTATACAGAATTATGGTTAGGAAGGAATAAATGGCAACACCAGAAATCCAGGGTTCTCTCAAGTTTAATAATCTTTCCCAAGAAAGTAAGCCTGTAGTATGATCTTCATATTGACAAATGGAGCATTATCCATAGCTGGTCAGTTTAGTGCAAAAGTAGTTAGAGCAACTTTGCATTTTGTTTATTTTCTTTCTTCTTCCAGGCTGGATATATGTAAGATTTCTTTTTTTTTTTTTTTAAGATTTTATTTATTTATTTGTCAGAGAGAGACAGAGCACAAGCAGGGAGAGAGGCAGGCAGAGGGAGAAGCAGGCTTCCCGCTGAGCAAGGAGCCCGATGTGGGACTCGATCCCAGGACCCTGGGATCATGACCTGAGCCGAAGGCGGACGCTTAACCGACTGAGCCACCCAGGCGTCCCTATGTAGGATTTCTTAAAAGAGTAAATGACTCAGCAGTTTCCCAAACATGACAAATTAGGCAAAATTAAACACATAAAAGGACCACTGATATACAGAACCCACTTCCTTCTGTTTCTTGGGAGAGGCTCCCTGTCTGCATACTGCTTCACGTTACTCATAAGACTTTAGTTAAATAAGATCCTTCCACATTAAACTGTGTTCCATGAGGATGAGGACTGTTCTTTCATCACCTATGATTCTTCTAGCACCTAGCATATTCCTTGAATCAGATGTTTAGTAAATATTTATGATATATAAATGAAGCCAAAGTAGGCTCTAATCATGAAAGATGTTCTTGGCTATAGAACTAATTTATAATATACCAGAAAATGACAATATAGGTAGACATATAACATCTGAAAATAATATCACTGAGTGTGCACATATGTAACTCAATTGCCAGTTACTCTACAAATGCTGAATGCAGTGTACTATTCATCTCAATATTCAAGAATTTTTTTTTCTGAGCACATATTCTAGGCATTGTTTTAGATGCTTAGGATCCATTAGTGAATAAAACAAAGGTACCTGCCCTTGTGGAGCTTACATTCTAGCAGAGGAGGGCAAAAATATACTAGATAATCTTATATTTTATATGGGAAAAAATGCGCAGATAGGAATCATGGGATTAGGGCAACATACAGTATCAAATAGGGTATTGGAGGAGGGGACACTCAATGAGAAGGTAAGATCTGAACAAAACCTGAAGGTGGGGAATTTAGCCAAGTGGAGCTCAGAGAGCAAAAGGAGAAGCAAAGGAGATGATAATGGGATGTCTGTGGGGGGCATGTCTGATCAGAGAGGCCCTTGTAGGTCATTGTTAGGACTTTGGCTTCTCTTCTCAGAAGAGAAAGGCAACACCATTGCCCTGTTCTGACAGAGTCATCATATCATCTGACTTACATTTTAAATGGATTTTTCTGTGTTGAGAAGCGACTGTAGGAGGCCAAAGATGGAAGACTTGTTGAAAGGCTCTATATCAACTCTATTTGTTTTTATATTGACAGGATCCTTTAGTAGAAATGAAAGCTTATCGACAACTGGCCCTGTTAAGTTCTGCTTTTGCATTTGGTTGGAGCAAGTGGAATATAGTATGTAATTCAAAAAAAGTTATAGTTAAGGTATAGTATGCAAAAACCCATAAAACTACTTTGTCCTCCAAAAGAAGATACTCAAAAGCTAAATGGATATAGGCCATGGTTTCTCCTCTTGGAAAGGTGAAAAAAATTAACCTCCGAAATAGTTTTAAAACTTCACTTTTGTTTATTTTGTCAAAGATATAAAACCAAACTATATAATGGTTATGCCGTCATTGTCCATTATGGTATCAAACACTCTTGACTTCAGGCTAGCGTCCTTATAACTCTTTACATCAACACGAGAACAGATGGAAGCTTTTAATGTGAATATATCTATGATTCACAAACTTTTTCCTCAGAGACAGGCCTCTAATTTAACATTTGGCACATTTACTACTGCCTGATGAAAAAGATACCAAATTCTAAAAGCTGATGAATGTTTGTTTTAGCATAAGTGAGCCACCATATTTACTTGTGTGTTTCTCCCACTCGAATATCAGCTCCTTGAGGATAGGATTTTATTGTTGCAACTGTTAATATGTTTTTTTCTTTGTTGTTATATCCCCAGCACCTAGAACCTTCCCTGCACCTGGTAGCTACTCAATAAATCTCTGTTGAATGAATTAATACATTTTGATAAGCTCCATACAAACATGGTTTAAGAAGAATGGTTCTTTTATATTAGCAATTTTGGGGACTGAGTTCAAATTATACTCTGCCAAAATACCTAAAAGAAGAGCTATTAATGGATTTCTCTAATTTTTTCTTTAGCTGAAGGAACACCTTACTGAAGAACCTACTCAGAAACCTAATTGGACCCTTTTAATGTTCAGTGGTGACAGAGCACAAAGGCTCAAGATCAATGAAGACAGTGAGGCATTCTCTGAAGCCCTTCAGGAAGAAACTGAGTTTCATTCTACTTTATATCACATGGTTAAGGATTTTGCTTCCAAAAAAGCAATGGAAAAAATTAGGAGCTCCAACTGCCAGGTTATTGACTCTGTGTGCTATATGCTACTCTCAACTCGATTACTCAGCTATTCTTAATCCCCACTGATAAATTTTATGCAGTATGAAGAATCAAGCACCTTGGAGCAAAATCAGGTATTTCTTCAATAAAATGTAATGAGTGAATATATTTCAAGAGGTTATTAAAATTTAATAAGCATTTTATACTCAAATTTTATTTTTTAAAAAGTGGGGTTCCCCCCCCGATGAATATTTGGCCTACTGAGACTTTCACTTTTCATTCTAGGAAGACTTGAGGTTCTTTATTTCAATAAATTTTGACAAACAATATATAATACCTCCTCCTCAAAAAGCTCATTAAAAATCACAGGCAGGATTCCTCCCCATTGTATTTTAGCCAGAGAGGAAATCGCAGAAAGAGGGAATGTAAAATACCTTCCAGTCCTTCTGAGACCCTCTGGTTCAACGCTATACTTTCCCAGCTAAAAATGACTAATTTACGAAGTTCAGATACTGAAACTTTAAAAACCAAGACACACACGTTAAGATGTGCTCTAGTCACACGGGTGGTGGTCCATTGTGTTGGAGTCTGGTAAATGGCCACAAGATTTGCTCTACAGACATCCAGGAGTCCCCATCTGGCGTGGGAGCAGCATCCACAGACTTTTGGAAAAATCGTCCTGTGAGGAAGCTCATCAAAGCTGCAAACAGTACAATGAATGCAACAGAAAGCCAGAGTGCCTTATTCGCCTTTCTGAAGGAAGTCTTGAGATTTGTTGCCCATGAAGCTACTGTGTCATAACTATAAGGAAAACACAAATTCAGAATCTGTTACTAGAAACACTCCTTTTGCCAACAATACCAGTCAAGTCATCGATCTGCCCTACCTACCACAAACATTGCCTTATAATAAGCTACATAATGTGACCTGCTATCTTGGTTTGGGCCACAATTTGCCCCACTCCCACCCAATAATTTTTTAGAATTAAAGAAATGATTTAGAGTTAAGAAATGCTATGGTGATGATCTGAAATTTAGGTGACTCGGGCATTATTTAACTCCTAACAAGAACATTTGAGTATTTATCTCATTCCTTGAATCAGGTAAGGCATCTTAAATTCCTACAGTAGTAGAAACAAAAATGCTATTTATTGAGTAGAGCATGATATGTGTGTATATACATATGTCACTTATTTCTCACCATACCCTGGACTTGTGCTATATTGAAATTTAAACTATTTTTAGTTTAAGAAAGGAGACACACAAGAAAAGCCTACTATAACATCAACTAAGTCTTAGCATTTTACATGTGCTACTGTTGTCGTCCTATCTTCTAGATGAAGAAATTGCCGCTCAAAAGTAGATGAACTTGCCTAGGCCCCTCTGCTCCAGGACCAAGTTCCTAACTGTGACCTGTCACTGGTTCAGGGATAACTCCTGTAGACCATGTGAAGTTTGTTTTTTTTATCTTAAATTTAACAATTTGACAGGTCTTTTAGTACTTTGACTAAGATTAACCTGTTAACCCTGCCTCATCTTTCCCCATTCCACAAAAATGGTATCATTAGCAAGCAGACAACTTACATTGAAGAACCATCCCATTTTGATGGATTATTTCTCCTTTCAGAAAGACTTGGCTTCCTTGTCCTTTCTACTGTTTCTTCTCCAGGTGGTTCTGAGTCATCTTTAGTTCTGTAAATAAGTATTATGTTTAAATGTTTGAAACTATGGATAAAATACCAGATTATTTAGAAAATATTGCTAAATTTTATTGTATTACTAAAGAGGCTCTCAGGTATTTGTTTTGCTTTGGAAAGATGTGCTATATAGTTCTAAAATCAAATCACTAAATTTTTATTTATAGGAATTTAATTTTAAAAACTTGCTATATTTAGAAAAATGTTTGTTGTAGGAAGTTGGGATACTAGCCAAAGGATAAGTAAAAAGGAGAAATTTACAAAGAACATGTAGAAGTTCGTCAGTTATCACCACTCATAATTAACTGGTGTTATTAACCTGTGATTTCTTTCTCTGCTTGTGTATAGTAACTAAACTTTAAAAAACAAAGGTGAATATTTCTTCCTCTATATTCTTTTTATTCAACATATGGTAAAATTTTTCTCCTTCTACCCCTTAATATATTAAAAGTGGATTTTATGCTAAACTGGAGTAATATCAAAGTGTCATTTCTTCTTTAAAAATCTTAATTTTAAAAGTGTTTATTTAATGAGCTGGGAAATAGAAATTGGACCAAATATATTTTAAATAAAATCATATTGTCTAAAGAGTTTTTCCTTTAACCTCAACATAATTTGTTTCATTACCATGTTTACTGATGAGTTCCTAGTTGGATTTGAATTTTGAAATTCCAAGCTCATAATGCTCTCACTATTACCAAAGGAACTGTTTCTCAGAGGTGTTTTTTTTTTTTTCCCTTCCTTCTTGGACATCTATAGGGAATGTATGTGGCTAGTTTTCATTTTTAAAGGAAACCTGGCCCAAGGTGCCTGCATGACAGTTGGTTGAATGTGGACTCTTGATTTGGGTTCAGGTCATGATCTTGGGGTTGTGGGATCGAGCCCCATGTTGGGCTCCACACTCCGTGGGAATCTGCGTGTCCCTCTCCCTCTGCTCCTCCCCCAACTTGCATGCTCTCTCTAAAATAAATACATAAAATCTTAAAAAAAAAAATAAGGCCCAAAACACTGAATTCTTGTAAGATTCTCAAGATTTCAGTCTTTTGTTCGCTAAGACGTCTCAGTAGAAATCATACCATACCAACAAAAAGCAAAAAATATTGTAATATTTTGAAGAAAACTTAATTTTTTTTAACCCAGATCAGAAAAATCCATTACGTTAACTCTAAATCTGAAAATGGTTTTCAGCACATGCAGTACGCTCCCAGGATTATTTTAAAAACAAATACAAAACCTGAGGGTAGGCACTATGTTTTACTCATCTTTATACCCCTTAGGATTGAGTTTAGTATATACCACATAGTAGGCAGGTATGAACATGTATAAAATGAACATAAAATCATTTCATTAAGATCTCTACAGATGAGGAAACGGAGACCAAATAAAGTTAAACAATTGGTCCAATGTCACTCAAGGACTTAGAGGCAACATTTCTTCATGTCCCTCCTCTGCCCTCTACCTATTGCTATACTTCCATAGCAATATAGAGTTTTGTTTCCCCTACTGTTCATTTACATAAAGAGAAGACAGAGGTATATATAGTGCACATATATTACATATGTGGCTATATGTTATATACACATGTTACATATAATTCATGTTTTGTTTTTTTCATCTAAGTAGATGGACACTTTACTTCTGTGGCTCTTTATTGACCTTTCTCCCTGATGACCAGATACCTATACAGGAAAAAAATAATCTTCACAATTCTGGCAAATTTCAGTGTCTAAGACCTCAAACCTTACAGTTTTGAGTGCTACAAGAGTAAATATATTTGCAAATAACATTTATGCAATGCACTATGGTTTATAAAAGTCTTAATTCTGTTTTGAATAATGCAGCATTATCTCATTTCCATAGAATAAAAGTGATCCCCACTACTTCCCAGCTCACGTCAGGTTAACACACACACCAAGCTTTACCTACTTTAGTTCACATTTTTCTTCTTCAGCATCTGCCCAGGAATACGTGCTAATAAATCGATGTAATGAGGGACGGTGTTCACTCTGCTTTGATCCCAAAATACGCCTAAGTAAAGATGATTATAGCCACTTGTCAAATTAAATACATCTGTAGTCATTATCAATTTATTTCCTACTACCTAAATTAATACAAAAATTATATGTTCTATTTTTTGTTGGCACACTCACTTCATAATAAAATTTCATGATTATACACCTATTGTATAATTATTGTGCATATACCCTGTGCCAATCAAATGTTACTTTATTACTTATTGCAAACATCTACTTCAGTCAATTATAAAACAGTAGGGTTCCCAAAGAGCAACCTTAAAATTACACTTACCAGCTGCTTGACCTCCTACTGAATCGGTCATTTTCCATCCCAGCCACCTTTAAATTTCAGATGTTAAAGAAATAACGAAATACGACTTTAGTGAAGTTTATGTTTTTGTTATATGAAAATGAATTTGCTTTTGATTAAGAACACTTAGGAATTTGCTTACCATTCCTGCATTTCCAATATTTCTGGGCAAAGAGGCAATGGTCACCCTTCGGAGAGAAGATGGCTACCCGAAGAGGGCAAAGGTACATTTAGAAAACTATCAGTATTTTATTATTGGATACAACACTAATGGATATCCTTGTACGTACACATCCCTGCATTTGACCACTGCTGAGTTAACCCGTAGACATATTTTGTTATGGCCAAATTGCCTTCCAGAAATATTGTACCAATTTATACTCTACCTTCTCCAAGACTGGATGAGTATAATTTTTGCCAAATAAAGTTTCTTGTTTAGTTTTCTGGTGACATTGAACACTTTTTTTATGCGAATAATCATGTATAAATCTGCTCTGGGAACTATATGATCTTTGCCCATATTAATGTCATTAATGATAATTCTGGCAGAAGTTGTTTTCATTGTTAATGCAGCTGAATCTTTCTTTTGCTATCATTTACTTTATGCTGAGGCTTTCCCAACTCAGGAGATACATGTGCACCTATTTTCTAGCTGTTTTTTTTCATGGTTTCATTTTTTCCATTTAAGACATTTAAATATGGGCGGGATATTTTGATAAATGGATGTGTTTGTCAGCCTCAGATTTGCATAGGAAAATGTTATATACTACTGTGATTCTTAAAGTTTAAGTACAACTTCAGGAAATAAAAAATATATTAAGTGTAGGAAATAAGCTAAAGAAGCTTAAGGTGAATCGTTTTCTTAAACCTCCATTCCTAATTTCATAGGTTAGCTGAGTATCAAGAATATCAAATTGCAATCCAAGAAATTTGGGTTCTCACCATGGTTCTGCTACTGCATGATCATTACTAATCACTTAACTTCTATGAAAGTGCTTTTCCTCATCTATGACAAAGAGATTTGGATGGAATGATTTTAAAGTCTCTCGCTCAAAAATTCTGTGAAATTCTGATTTTCAAATTGGCAAAAACTGCTGGTTGACTCCCAATATTCCATTTCCCCCCTTTTTATTTGGTAAAGAACACCTTGATTTTCAGTTAGGCACAAAGCCTCCAGAAATAAAAATGGATTTTCTGGTCTTTCAACCAAGAATGACAAGGAAATGTTATTTGGGACCTCTAGGAATTGTCATTGGAGGGAGAGGGAACGCTTGTTTTTATGTCTTCCTTTTTCCTAGCATGTGACTGGATGTAATGCCACCCTAGACCGTGAGGTGGAAGCGGAGGGCTGAGGGTGAAGAAGCAGCAAGAGGAGACTGGGTTCTGTGGATTTTGTGAAGCCACTCTACCATTTTTGGACTGCCTATTTCCATCTCCAGTTTTACATGAGAGAGAAACTATCTGGCTTTCCTCTTGCTTTCAGACAAACTTGAATGATGTACAAATATAGTAAGAAGTATAAAAGTATACATATATAAACTTAAACATGCATATGCATATCTACATAAATATACATGATTTACATTTAAAAACGCGTTTCAAGTAATATTTTGAAACCATCTCATCTGTAACACTTGATAGACTGTTAAGTCAACTAGTAATTACCTTGGAGTTTAGGGAAGATGAACGCTTTTTAATTTGGCAGTCATCTGAAAGGAAAAACACATTTGCACATTTGAGGAATTACATAAGCAATTTATTGCAACGGTCTTATTTCTTAACAAAGAAAAGCAATAGTCAGAAATATTTAAGACCCTAGAGACTACTGAACATTAAAAATATCTGGTTATCATTTGGTGACTCATAACAATTACCATCTGAATACTGTCCTGTATGTCACTATATATGTCCACAATGCTTACCCAGCACATAGGAGATGCTACATGGATATAGGCTGAATAAATGAATCCAAAACTATAGATCAGAAGGTTATCAAATATGATTACTTTTCCTAGAAAAGGGAAGAGATCATTAAAATAATTCTGCTCAGAAAAGTTCACATTATTTAAAATAAAACTATTACAAGATTTATATAAACCTTATATTTGTAAGGTATTTCCCATGGTCTCAGATGTGTCCTTATTTTCCAATCCGTCTGCCAGCTTACTATGCCAGAGTCATTCCTTCTTCAAGAAATAGAAAACCATTGTTGATGAGAGTGGCTCATTTAATTTATTGTGCTTTGCTTTGTGTGTGGAGAAAGAGCCAATTCTAACATACCCTGAGTAGGAGAACATTAGAGTCAACTCAATGGGTTGGATGAAATATATTCTCTCATCTCAGCAATCTAAATTAATTTAATGAATTTTTGGTGTCATTACCAAAGAATCCTCCTTGTGTCCCAACCTGTTTTCTAACTTACATTTTACTTGGGGCTATATAAATAACAGGATGAGTTATTATTCTAACATAACCTTAACCTAAGAGTTTTATACTAAAGACATAATAAGAATTAGTAAGAGAATGAAAGAGGAGAATCTTAGAAAAACATAACTGATACCATTAAACTTTTATTACCTTTATCTTCAAGAGGGTTAAAAGACCTTTCATTTTGCAGAAGAACCTGTTTCAGTTCTTCTAATTCAGCATGCTCTTTGGCATACCTTCTCTTCAGGTTTTCTACATGCTGAATCATCACTTCAACTGCTTTACTAACCCGGCTTTCCTAGTAAAAAAAAAAAAAAAAAAAGTAAATTTACAATGAAAATATTATTCTTGATATCCAGTTAAAAAATGATTAGACACATACATCTATCTTCACTACATCCCCAAATCTTGCTAAAATTACAACGAAGTGGTTTTGTTTGTTTTAAAAGAAGACACAGAACAAATAGAAGGGGGTATAATGAAATTTTGAAAGGCTGCTAGTAGTAGGACTAGTGGTGAATGACTAAGACCTGAAAAACCTGAACCTTAAGAAAAAGTAGGAAAAGACTACAAGCAACCTGGGCTGCACCACAGAAAGCCATACAGGCTCAGGAATTAATGGTGCCTCTGGAATTAAATGTGAAGGTAGGTATGTGAAAAGAAATGGTTGAAAACCTGCAGAAAAAGTGATTAGATCTGCAGATCTCCTCCCTTATTCAG